GACAAGCGCATTTTCATATTATATTTTCTTTTCGCGCGAATTCGTCAAATGTGCACAATAATTCGCAAGGTTTTCTAACACAATTTCTGATTGGATAGTTGAGCTTATATTGTATTACGTATTTCTAGCAGCCCGGTTTAGCAGACTCATTGGCGAATTAAATCACTGAGCGTAAAAAAATATCGAGTCTGCAAAGCAGGCTATTACAACATCCGTTTGTCATTTTTCTCCGTTCTTCACGAAACCCTTCAAAGAGACAATGGTTTTGAGTTTTCAAGTTTTTTTATTTCCCAGATAGCATTTTATACAATACATTTACTGTCTATGTACTGGAAGGTGCAGAGAAAAACCCTAAAGAGTTAAGAAGATTTAGTTCTGCGCCGTAAACTAATGTATTTAGAAGCTATATTAGAACATGAATTCCTAATGTTAGTTTGGTTTGTTTGTTTGTTTTTTCCCTCGATATAAGATTAACTAACGCGGTTAGAATGTAGACCTCAAATGCTTTGTTATGATCGGTTTTTATTTTGCTTGCTTGTGGTGAATGTCGTACATTAAATTTACGTAACAAAGCATTCACAGCGTGAAAGGTAGGCCCCCCTCATAACATCAACAAGGTCTTGTGATCGTAATTACAACCACAACTTAAGTAAGTACTTAAGTGTTTGTTCCTTTTTGAAATTTCTTTCCCATGCGCTAGCTAAGTGACGTATTTCTCAACATTGAATCAAATACTTATCGTACTGTTCAGTCATTTTCAAAATATTTAAATTCCTTCGACGAATCCTGGTATTGACTCGACCTACGCATCGGGAAAGTCAGATCGAAACCTTCTAAACTGCATCGCCAAGCCTTTATGGCTTTATGACAAGAGAACTTCAACATGTTATGTATTAAATTCTTTTGGATGCAGCGGAAACGTATATATTAAAATGACATACGAAAACGTGCCTATCATATGAGTAAAATAAAAAAAACCTTTGGAMGTTATCAATTGAAAATATCGTACAGTCATTTTAAGATTTTTCTTTTTATAACTGAGAGTTACTTATGTGTTGTGTCAGTTGTACCGGTGCTTTTGCGTTTAAGCCGAAAAAATAACCGAAAATAAGCAGGCTCTTGATTGCATGAATAAATTTTGTGTAATCAAAGAACCTTGTTGTTATATGCCCATGCCATCGCTTTCTACAACTAATCGAGTACTGATCCATTAAGTAATGCAAATAGAAAAGTGTACATGAAGATTTTGGTTGATAATCTTCGGGGCCTTTTTAGCATCTATTTTAGKCATTCGTTATTTATCGCTGGCGATCATTGTTGACTTAATTCCCAGCTCACATTTGTATGAGATGTATTGAAATGGCATCACCTGCCAATGTTTTCCTTCATAATAACTGATTTGAATGGTTATCATTAAGATCATTGGTCAAGCATGACGCATATTCATACTGCCATCATTTCGGTTTTGTTCTGCATTCGTAACAAGTAGATCTAAATATATTTACATGACAGACGACTCGTGTCAAGAGACTTCGTGCCAAACAACATCAACAACAATATCTCCTAACTGACGAATACTCTGACTCATTATATAAGCACTCTCAGGGACAATGATGAAACCGTGTGAGCTGGCTGTCTTTTTGATTTCGCTCTATCTTCAATGTTTTATATCGGTGACTTCGGCAGAATCACAAAGTACGATCCAAAACACGAGCCAGGCTGATAAATCCGATAATTTATCCCGTTTCCCGCAAATTCCCATCAAATTCAAAGAGGTCAAAACTATTCAACTGGGAAAAGCAAACCACACTGACGAGAAGAGTCGAAATGTAACGTGGAATCTGACTGGAGTGAATATGACGGGAAAGCCTGAGGACGTCTCGCGATTCAACTACGAGACTTTATGGAACAATGGATTATTGACACTGACCCTGGTTCGTTTTGAAATCCAAAAACAACAACTGAAGACGCAACTGAGACAAGGTTCTCAAAGACAAACCTTCTACCAGGACGAACCCGAGAACTTTCTAGAAAATTCTTTTTTTACTCAATCTGACATTGAGTCCGTGATTCCTGACTTCCTGCGGAGGCGATTCAAGAGAAGGGTCTTTGGTAGGGACACGCGTACACAAATTCCTCAAGGGGAATTTCGTAAAGTTCCATTTTCAGCCGTCGTTAAGATCTCAACTGGCTGTACAGGAACTTTGATATCAAGCATTCATGTCCTCACATCGGCCCACTGCGTCCATGACAGCTCCAAATACATTGTGAGCGTGAAAAACGTCAAAGTTGGCTTCCCAAAGCATAATGGAAAAATGCGGTGGGCAGGAGTGAAGAATATTAAAGTACCACGCGGATGGACAACGGACAAAGATGTCAGCTATGACTACGCAGTTTTAAAGCTGGTGCATCATCACCGTCGTAAGTACATGGTGCCCGGTTCTATTGTCTTGACACGTGGATCCATCACGACACACTTCCTAGGCTTTCATCAAGACAAACCTGCAAATTCCTTGTGGTATTCTTTCTGCAAAGCACGACCGCTTGATCATGTCATCATCAACCGATGCGATGCAATGCCCGGAAGCTCAGGCGCTGGAGTATACCTCCTCTCCAATATTGGGTCCAAAACAGTACGGTTCATTGTTGGGGTTCTGTCTGGTTCAGGGACTGTGCGATTTCGCAAAAGTAACGGGCGGTCAAGGCGGTTTAATATTGCAACCAAGTTGACTCCATTAAAAGCCGCGCAAATCTGTGCTTGGATCAAATCGGCGCCTTACTGTAATGCCCTGGCATAGACTCTAACCTTTGCGGTCATTACGTAAGACAGGTTCAAATATTAGAGAGTTTTAGATTTACGTTCACGGCAAATGTGAAACGTCAGTTGACCAGTAAAAAATTCTTTTAAATTACTGAAAAAGAATCGCAAAAAGTCCATGTAGTAGAAAAACAAAAGAGTATTTGCGCTTGGTGAGAAGGTTTGTAAAAAGGAAAGGAAAGGAAAGGAAAACTATGAAAACGTGCACGTGGTCACGTTTGCCGTTTGCGGGGAGAAAAATAAGTCAATCTAAAACTCTCTATTATTAGCGCTAAAACGTTAAAATTATTACTAATTGTGTTGTTGCTACTGCTTGAAATCTTACACTTGGGTTTTGAACTATATATAAAATTGAACATGTACATGCATCATTTTTTACTCATATATACATATATATTATATTTACCATTTATCAACAATTCTGGTCGTAATCACTTGAGTCATACATCAATAAACAAAATTGTCTGGAGCTTAAATGTCCCAACATATTAAACTGTGTAATAATAAAATATTCACCTACGAATGAGCATCGTTATTATTCCAATATACTATTATTCCAGGCTGAATCGTTCGCGGTACGCCCGTAAGATAACACTGCKAATTTGACGTCATTGCAGGCTACGCCAGTATGATAAGCGAACTACGTCAATTTCTCTATTCAAGACATTAACCGCGTTTAAAACACAAACATGATCTAATGATTTATAACAAAAAGAAGCCTTGCAAATCTTCTTTCTTATGACACGGGATAAAGAATTATATATATATATATATATATACATCATATCAAATCATTGAACCAGCACTAGTCTGCATTATATTTGTCAAACAGTAATTAATTTCCAGTCGTGTTATTCAACTCAAAAACTTGACATTTTTAAGACCTGTCGGATAATTCTCTTATTTCTAGTCTGGAAAAAGGTTTATCAAGTGCCTTTACCCCTAAAATAACATTGGGAATTTCTCTTATATAGTGCATTACACATGTGTCTCAATGAGCTTTGCAATCTTTAAGACATTCACAAGTACTGATTACATATATTAGGTTATCGTATGGAACCCAGGTTCTTATGTTTTTTAAAAGTTTTGCGGAAAAAGGCATTTTTAAATCAGTTGAAAACACAAGTGAAATTGAAATGTTACGAGGACCAATACGATTACTTTTTTATCATATACTGGGCAAAATTGAACGACAAAATGCATATAATTGAATAAATTATGATAATAAGCACGGAAACGGAATGGTAGCGGTCACATATTCACTAGCTAAAACGAACGATGATGATGATGATAATAATAATAATAATTTATTTCTTGAAAAAACGCATAACTACTAAGTCTCAATGCTTTTTACAGGTATTGGAGAGAGAAAAAAAAAAGAAATATATAGAGAAAAAACAAAACAAAACAAAACAAAACAAAAAACAAAAAAACAAAAAAAGAAAAAAAGAAAAAATGTATATATATATATATATATAGCAAACATATTTCAAAAATAAAACATATATTACAATAAAAAAATAAAAAATAAATAAATAAATAAAAGATAAAAAACGTAGTAGTGATGTGATGATATTTATACATATAAGCTTCTACCTCAAAGTCTGTATGTACCTTTAGATAAAAATGTTTAGTCTTGAAAATGTCAATAGAACTGGAAGTTTAACTGAATCTGACAGTTGGTTCCAGAGCTTAGGCGCTGCCACAGAAAATGCATGACTTCCTTGAAAAAACTGTTTTATACTTGTTTGGCCAMTGAAGTTAAATTTAAATGTGAGCAGGCGTGAACGAATCATAAACAGGAACAAGTCACTTTGCATTGAATGTACCTTATAAATAGAACATGCACTTATTACAAGAATGACAAACTAATGATTAGATGATTACACTTCATTGAAGGAAAAAGTGGAAAAAGCAATGAAAACAAAGAGAAAACAAAATAAAACAAGAAAGACAGGAAGAGACAACAAACTTAGTACACTGCTGTGATGCTCTTTTCTTTTTTTTTATCTTTTAATTGATTTTCTTTTTTTGCCGGCATATCTTCACTCAAAACCTGTGATTCTATTTTTTAACGCAGTGGCGGATCTGCGGGTGGGATTTGGGGGTTACAACCCTCCTGCTCCCTATAAGAGCAATCGTGATTTATTATTATTATTATTTTTCTTCATGACAACACCAACAGCATCGCCAGTTTTATTAAAACAGGGGTGCCGAACACATTTCGCTCGCTGTTTTTTCTATACGCCGTGTGTGGGACCTGAAACAACCATGCTCGCCTGCAGCAAATAATCATTATCATAAGACCTACTTCCGTTTGGGAACCCTGTGCTACTTTCCCGCCAAACAAGTACCTCAATCAATGCTACAACCCCCCCTTTGAAAAAATCCTGGATCCGCCCCTGTAACGTAGTGAAAATACAGAGTCAATTTTAAAACAAAATGGATAAAACGAAAGATAAAAGATGTTGCATGTTGCATGTTAAAACCTTCACGTACCAATGTTTCTTGAAATGGTTGTCTACGATTGAAATAAGGCTTGAAAGATAGAAAGTGAGCAAATGCGCAATCAATAATTCTGTCACGTGATCGGCTAGCTCCACACTCTCATAGTCACTTGACATAGTGACAWAGAAAACCTATAGCAGAAAGCAAGCAATGCATGCCGTCTCTTGGGTAAGGTCCTGAATACTTCTGGGTATACTATTGCGCAATGTTGTCCATATGATTCATAAAAAAAGGTACAAACGCATTTTTTTTTTTTTTTTTGCTTTGCTTTTTATCAGATTTCGTTATCATAATAGGAAATGCACAAGAGCAGGAATCTCTAGCACAAAGCATGATGGGAAGCCGATTCGGATTCTCATCATGCTTTGTGCTAGAGATTCGTGCTCGTGCACATTGGCTATTGGACGCTYACAATTATGATTGACGGAGTAGCTAAAGGCAGTATTCACTTTTATTTTTATGTATTCACTTTTATATTCATGTATTCACTTGTATTTTCATATATAACAAATTATTCATTTATTAGCGTACTTACATTGAGTTTTGGGCGCACGTGCAAGGTTGCTAAGGACGATGGAAGCGTAAGAGGTGCACGAGACGTTGCTGAGTTTGACTCTGAGTGCTTAAGCAACCAGCCAAGTGCACCCAACACTCGATAGAAACACGCTAATCAATGACCAATCCTTTAATTCATTTTTTTAAACGAAATCTCAATTAAATAGCGCGCGCTACTCGATCACATCAGCTAACACTATCGATTTTTGGATGCACGCTAGGCTCTGCTAAATAACCAATCAGAGAACGCGTTATATCGTGGGTATGTTAGAACATACATCCTATTGGTGATTCAGCCCAGCGACATACCTGCGACATAAGTCGACGTGGATACAATTTCGCTATGGCATTGTAATGAAACTTGCGACCTCGTGCATTTATCCTAGTGACAGTAGCCGAAAGCACTCCCACAATACGCCTCTCTGTTTCCCCGTTGTAGATAATTTCTTCATATACTCCGGACCCTGAACTTCCCTGGACTGCGTCACATGTACTCGCAAGGAAATAACTGAAATCTATTCCTGTGCAATCAACGCGCCACATCGTGTTGCTTTTTTTGTCGCCTGGGAAACCGTTAAAATGAATCCTTGGGGTTCGGGAAGTGATCCTTCCAGCAAGTCYAAAATATTTTCTTCTGTGGGTGGTGGAAAGCTTGAGAACAGCATAATCATAACGCCACGCAACGGTCCATGTCCTCGGGTGCCGGAATTCATATGGCATCTCATGTGATATTACATCATACCAACGAAATTTCTTGTTTTTCTTGAGGAAACCAACCTTGATTTGATCTATTGGTTTGATGTACTGTGTCCTGTTGTGGATGCAGTGAGCAGCGGTCAAGACGTGTTGGTTTGAGATCAGATTCCCTGTACATCCTGTTGATATCTTAACAACAGCAGAATAGGGAAACTTAGATAATTGCTTCCTCTTGACCTTTCGTCTGGTGTCTGGTGGGAAAATACGGCGTTTAGTGGAATTATCATTGATAATAGAATCCCAATATCTATTTAACAGATCGAAGGTCTCCTGGTCATTCTTCTGGCTGGTTCCTGTTGTAAGCCCCATCAGTACGATCACCATTACACAAGTACACACTACACATGCCAAATCAGCTGGTATCAACATTCTCATGTTCAGCTGCAGGGTTTCACAGATGTCTGTAATTGGCCAAATTTTAAAAGCAAAGTTAAAAAAAAAAAAAAAAAAAAGATAAAATATCTCGTTTGAAAAGACTTGAAAATTCTAACGATTTGCCGATAAACTTTATATGGGACTAGCCCTGTCCTGTTATTCTTTACCTAGCTTTTTTTWTCTCTGCTTGTTTGTAGTTTAGTTTATAACTGAGGAGAAGGTGCWGCCTTTGTAATTACATCTGCAAATGGTTAGACCTTCGCGTCTTCTCGGATAAGGACGTTAAACCGTTGGCCCCGTCTCTCCACACTATCTAACCCTGTATTGGAGGGACGTAAAAGAACCACTTAGGACGTAATAAAACCCTGGAAGTGACCACCCTCAGTTTCTGGCCTTTACTAATGATTTCTTAACGGGTTGATTTGTGGGTTGGTTTAGGGGTTTTTAAGGGGTKGGATTGATGTATGTACCTCGTAGGGGACCTCCAGTCCTATTGTGCTATACCAGCCCTCGGGCAAATTCTCAAATAATAGTTTAAATAGTTTTAATTTCTCCGGTCTAGTCGTAAGACTAAAATAATAGCTGAATAAAAATCATTTCTCTAGAAAAATGTAAGGAAAAAATTGCCAAATATTTAGATACTTATTAAAGAATAACCTTCAAATATTTATTATTATTTTTTATTTCATTCGTACATTTATATGGAATATTTTCCCATGGTAGAAAAATATGAACTTTATTTTATACTTTCAAATTCCATATCATATATAACATGCATAGATTTATACTATATAAAATGATGATGACGTATTGCTTTTGTTTACAGTCCTTTGACTAAACGTTGTCGTTGATCGGATCATCCCAACGCTCCTAGACCGAAAAGRATAACGGGTAATTTACCCAGAACTTGCGTCATCTAAACTGCTCGCCAGTTTAAATCTTCGCCGTATGCTCGAGGCATGGTTTTAGCAAATTAAATGAGATCGCAAAAACAACGAGCTCAAGACGTGTTAGATAACATGTGCGGCAGCTAGTAACTGTGAATTAATTATCCCCATGATCCTTTTCGGTCTAGGCGCGTAGGGATGAAGCTGATCAAACGACAACGTTTAGTCAAARGACTGTATATGGTTAAAATAACTAAACGATAAAAGACTCACTTGACTTTAGTTATCCAAACTTTCCAGTTGCCGAGACTTGGAATACGAGAACTCCCAAAGATCTTGGTMTGTTTGTCAGCCTTGCATGCGTGTTAACATCCCTCTGATTGAGAAGTGTTTTTAGACCTTATCTATAGAAACTCATTAATAATTCATAGCTTAGTTAGCAATGTGTTATAATCAACTAACAAATCACAGCAAAACACCTCAACTTAATGTACAACGATTGGCCTAGTCTTGAAGGCCACTTCGTGTTGAAAAGTCGAAATCGCAGGTGGACGAAGAAGACATAAGAATAATTAATCAATCATATAAAATCAATCGGTTAGAATGAACTTTTACATTTTTCCTTCCATTGCATAATTTATAGGAACTACTAGTGGCTATAGAGGCTTTGMAGCATCACGTGTCGGCAGCCATGACAGGAGGCCCAACAATAGAGTCGTTCTCCCCTGGGAAACTGAATTATCTCTCATGTAAATCAGATTAGACCAGATTCAATTGTTCCTGTATYCTGACATGGCTGCCATCACGTGATGGTGCAAAGCCTCTATAGAGGAAATAAATWCTCTAGTTTCGAGTTYTCTSTTGCTCARGGTYAGCCTCGACGTTGTGCAGAATATTCATGTGYTCCAGTGAAGRTCCWTKGAAGTTTCAAAGTGTTTGTATTGTWAAAGTYGKGCATTCTTYAMTTTACSGTTTGTATTTGTGTATATTTAAATGCTGAGTAAATGAGTATGTAATTAAGWAACACAGCGGTAATTTAGATAACTCGCGTCCATTCAATTGCAGGTCCTTATCTGATACCTATCATATTCAGTCGTCATAACACGTRGTACTTATTCCCAGCCGGTGACCGYAASATCACCTGTTTAGTTATGTTATGGTTAACGGAATCTCGATGCCAATAAACTAATAGTTCGTTATATATCAAACAAAGAAAAGAGTGTTTCATCCGATTTAATTCCAATCAACCGAGAAGGGAATACTCCCATTTGGAGTTCGCCTTTGGTCAGTCTTAGCCTCCATTGTGTACAAATGTGTTCTTTAATCTTCTTTCGTTAAGGTCCATTGTATAGTAAGGAACGTACGTACTACGGAACAATAGGAGTTGATTTCAATGTCACGGGTTTTGGTTGAATAGCTGAATATTATAACGCACCACCAAGACTAAGGCTAWGYAAAAGAGAACTCGAAACTGGAGCATTGAAAAATCGAGCCGGAGCCTAGTTCTTTAACCAACTTCGACTTGTTTGGGATAGAGGATGAAACACTGTTTCACCTTGATAAGGCACYTCTCAAACCATCAATGATTATTTGAGAAATTCAAATTATCATGATGCTAATTAACAAAGATGACATTTCCAAACCACATTCACGCTATTGTTCTTTGTTTTGTCCTAGATCATGAATTATTAATGAGTTTGATAAATTAATTTSAATCTAATTACAATTACTCTTCTTGTTTTCGTTTTTCTAAAATATTTCCTTTACAGATTCAGTTGCACAAGAACTAAGAAACAACAGAAGCACCGCCACCACCAACAGCAGCAGCCTTAGTATCATCATTATTGTTATCGAGAAGATGGTTGCTGATGTCGTCATCGTCGTTGTCGATATCTCTCAATAGAACAAGAAGGAGAGTGCTAGAACATAATTTATAGGAGGACAATATTTCATATTGYTTCTTTCCAGATTCCGATGTGGTACCCGTTGGGAATAAGCAGCCAAGCTAACCAAGGTCTAAATTTAGAAATTCAATCCAGAGCTCGAGTCCCGAGAGGAATACTCAATCTTATAGCCTCAATTGTGTACAAATGTGTTCTTTTAATCTTTTATTACAGTGCACTGAACAGCTCAATATTATAACGCACAGCCGAGACTAGGGCTGAGCAAAGAAAAGTCGAAACAGGTGTATTAATCTGGGCAACACAAAACAATGGGTGTTATTTTTTTCATGTCCCCCAAAACCATTCCTCTGGGAGATCAATACAAGAGGTGTATCTCACCAAGAAGGTGTTCCTTCTTAAAATGCCTATCGCCCTTCTGACAATACTCTCAGAATTGATTCTAAATGACGTTGAATGATCCTAAAAAAACTTATAGTTTGAGTACGGCTTCGTGAAGTTATAAAGGTTCTTAATTCCATGTCATATGCTGATGCTGTGACGAATGAGTAGGCATTTTTGTTGTTCCTTGTAATTCAAAGCACTGACTTTTATGTGAAAACTAACTAGCAATAATTTCTATATGAGCAATGGGGAAAACAATGACAATATATATTATTATAATTATAATTATATTCTGAAGTACGGGAAACACTCACGCGTCCGCCATCTTGTTTTCCGGAACAGGCGGGTATTTTGGAGCATGCGCAGCGGTTTTTTAGTCGTGTCAGTCAAACCAACGTAGCTCCTCTTTATACRAGTTCAACAGGTAGCCTCGCACTAGTGTGCATGTGAAAGGAACACCATAGGGGTCCTACGTATGTTCCTTATGGAACACCACAGCTGAACTGAGTTTGCCCGCCGTAATATCACTCTGGACATCCCTTAAATCGAACCATAAGAGCATCAGCCTATCCGCAGCCGGATATTTGCTTTAAACATTTTGTGTTAATATTAAAGAATGACGTAGACAGTAGAAATTTATTTCAATTGATTCGAATTAAGTTATCTACATCTACTACAGTTATATGCTGCATAACACGTGCAATAATACAGTTTCAAAAGTCTTTACAATTACAATTTTCCAACATATTTTTTAATTTGCGTCCACGAATTTCAAAAAAGAGGGATTTTTCTCTCYCGGAGAAACCAATTAGGGAGTTCCAGTTAACTAACTTCGCAATTTTTTWAAATCATCTATGATGGACAACCCCTTGGGTGTTCAGCCCATCTACAAATATTCCTAATATCAGCGGCCTTGAGACTAACGGCATTATTAAAGTAGCGATAGCGACCATTTGGCAACCTTAGTAACTCTGTCTCCCCCGACAGAACCCCGATGATAACTCGCTTATTTTTCCCACGTCTTCGGATTACAGTGTACACTCCGGATCCTGAACTTCCTTTAGATGCATCACACTTGGAAATAATATTGGAACTTAATGTAAGTACGCTTGCACTGCAATCYACGTACCACAGAGTATTGCTCTTTTTATCACCAGGAAAACTTGAAAAGTATATATGTAATGAGGATTTCTTTGGTACGGTCAGACGAAAAAACTTTCTCGTGTGAGGTTTGGAAAGTCTCAGCACAGCGTAATCATAGTGTGAACCTTTGCTATTCATCCATTCGTTTCTTGGGAATTGTACTGAAGTCACTCTATACCAATGAAACTTTCCATTGCTYTTAAGGAATCCCACTCGTATGTTGCTTGTTTGTGTAATATACTGTGTTTTGTTATGGATGCAGTGAGCAGCGGTCAAGACGTGTTGGTTTGAGATYARAKTCCCTGTACATCCTGTWGATATCTTAACAGAAGCAGAATAGGGGAATTTGTAAGATGCTTGGTAGTTGCTGATTCTTCGTCTGTTGTCTGGTGGAAAAATATAACGCTTCCGACGGACAAATGTATTATTCCTTTCCTTTTGATGCAACCTCATATCACCWTAAATTGATGTTGGAAATGTAGAATATCGAACTTCAAAGACTGATTCAAGTTGAGCGCGGGTACGAAGTTTCGTCTGCTTCGAGAAAGCTTGGTGTAACTCTTGTCCTCGTTGGCTTTCTTGATGCGTCAGTAGTTCAGCTCTTCCATTAACCGGTACCGACCCGGCATTCTTTCTCTGATTGTTTAAATTCGTCGTCAAAGACTTTTGGTTTTGTAAAAGTTTGGGTTTGTAGTTGTTATGCAAATCCTGAAGTCTTGACTGCGTTATTGAGAGATTCTGAGGTACGTGCCTGCTCTTCAAGGAAAATCCGTTTGTCATCCCTGYCAGTACTACCATCATTGCATACGCACACAGCATACCTTCGAAATGAACTGGTCGATTTGACGCTGATGATCTCATATTTAGTTTGCAGGAAAACAGTAGAAATGTTCTCAACTTTGGTATAACGATTCACATAATAAAATGCTTGGTAAATGCCCTCATTTATATRGTGTCGTTTGTTTTACCACGAGACGTTCATTGTCAGATATACATGTCACTACCACGTTTGGTATACCCGCCCACGGGATGACTTCTGATAAGTTTGGCGCCAACGACTGTCTGCTTGTCACTGCCAGGTCAAACCACTTTTTCTTTCCATCCATTCTCCTCATTATCTGTATATGGTGCAGCGGAAATCATTAAAGGCTCTCAGTTAACATTGAACGCTCCATTTTTTGCCATTTTTTTATGTTAAGCTAATGAAAGACTCTTAGTTGAATAGTGAGAGTATTGTTCCTCACAGCTTGTAGTACAGACGTGGGCGAAGACGCTCGTTAGTTCGATTAATTTTAGGGGTAACATGCATCTCAGTTGGATGGCGAAAAACCTACGCATTTTTAATTCTCAAAAAAAGTGATTGCAGTTGGTTATCTGACTATMTCAAAGGTTCAAAAAAAAGCTGGAGACCTATGAAGCACAGTTAAGTAAGTCTGTGATTAGTTTCCAAAGTGGGGRAAAAATCAACTAATATATAGCTTACAAGTCATATAACTTGAAAGCCGACACTGGAAGAACACATGCTAAAACTACCCCGAGCTGCGTCGGTATTTGAAGTACAGTATGGATGATCAGAATGATAGGCATTTTTAACACCATGTATACGAATAAAAATTGGGCTAAGTCTGTTACAATGTCATTGTAAGCAATATGCACATTGTTAGTTTGAACTATTGCATATTACACGGTTATATASCAAATTATAACAGCTCTTTTCAACATGCAACGAAAAAAAGTGTCTCAATTCAGTTGAGGCATTTTCCCCAAAGAAATGGCACCAATAAACTATAGCAGTAACTTTAATTTTTCATAATTGCTTTCAGTTCCGTTATCTTTATAAATTATTATTTTTTATTCTATTTTATAACAATAAGCAATATTGAGTCAATTTTGGCAATATTTTCCTTTTATAATTAGATTTACTTATTAATATTTTAAATACGTAGCATTGTAAATATTGTAAATACATATATATAATTTATGCATATATTTCTGTTGTAAAGCGCCTTGGACATGCTCATGGATATGAGCGCTATATAAATAAACTTTATTATTATTATTATTATTATTATTATTATTATTATTATTATTATTATTATTATTATTATTATTGAGTCAAGGCCATTATTTACCGGTTTGGAAGTTACGATTGGGACACGATATTTTTGTCACATTTTTATGGTGTAAAAATACACACTATAAAGTCATTCCATGAGCCAAAAGAATGAAAATAAGATTTATTTTTATCACTTGGTGTATTTGAACTCAATGCTTCATTACTAGAGGGTTTACAACAATACAAAGGTCAGGAAATAATAACCTAATAGAAAACTTGAAGTGTTTTTTCGAGTGTCGGTCCTCAACTGTAAGTACTTATTACGCGATATTCTGAATATTAATAATAATACTAATAGAGGAGGCGTTGTAAGGAAACCCCTCTGAGACATCCACCACCGACCAGCTATTTACTAATCTTGATAACTGACCACTAGAAGTGACGTTCTAAGACTAAGCTCCGCCTGAAGTATACGACTCATCTATAGAGAGTTTTAGATTGACTTTTTTCTCTCCCCGCAAACGGCAAACGTGACYACGTTTTCATAGTTTTCCTGTATTTTACTTTACTATTTACAAACCTTCTCACCAAGCGCAAATACTCTTTTGTTTTTCTACTACTTGGACTTTTTTGCGATTCTTTTTCAGTCATTTRAARGAATTTTTTACTGGTCAACTGACGTTTCACGTTTGCCGTGAACGTAAATCTTTAACTCTCTTATATTGCTTATGGAAACTATGCAAAACATTTGATTAAACAAGGATCAAGCTCGATCTAGTGCAGTCTTGCAAAAATGAAAGCAATTTTTACGGATAAATTCCTACAATTCTCACGGACTAGGTTCGATAGATATAGTGGCAGATTGTCTTTTCTCGCTATCATTATGTCATGATGGGTAGTAGCGGTCGGCCATGAACAACATTCGACCTTGGCGTATTAGTAAATCGATCAGTGCCTCATCTATTGCAAAATGAACGAAAAATTAATTTCTTTGGACAGAAATCTCTATTTTATAACCTGCATGTTTTCATCGAATGTCAGTCGACATAAGTTYCATGATTAGGAATCAACAGTCGGATCAACAGTCATTCCCGTTAAAAACGTGAATATCTAAGTTGAATCCTTAAAACGATTTTTTAAAATGAAAAAACAAAAAATTCAAAAATAAGATTTAAAGTTTCATTGGCTCACTTTTCCTCGTAGGAAAGTGATATTATTTTTATTACATATTTTTTTGCATTTCGTCAACTTTGATTTCATGTACTTATAGTTAACCGTGGTGTTCAAGCCGACAATGCCCTTGCTTTGAGTAGCAGGCTACAAGATAAGATTGARGTCATTACGTGAAGGAAAGAAAATTGCCATGCTTTTCTTCGTCCTCCTTTTCCTGTTATTTCAACCTTCTGGTAGCAAAAAGGTCAAGCGACGAATTTAGAAAAAAAAAAAAAAAAAAAAAAAAAAATGCTAATCCAAACATAAACCGGAATTTTTTTTCCATCTCAACACTTAACGGAAAGAGACCGCCGAGTTAGATTAGGAACTCAGCTATACTTAATAAATTGAARCTGAATAGTTATCTGTATTTCAATCGGCGGCAGCCGTTTTGAGATGTTGAGCAAGTCTTCCTGGACGTGGGTTTATCTTTTTCTCAGTAGATAGCAATCAACCGATAATTTTGAACACATTTCTTGACAATTGAACACAATTTTGCGCTTTTTGTCCTCGGCAGCTAGTAGTAGGAAATGAGCCATTGACATTGACTCTTTACCGGATGTCTCAAAATCAACGCGTCGTTTTTTAAAACCACATCTCGGTGCTTGGATATCGAATGAAACACTCTTTCTCGTGCTGAAATAATTGCATCTCGATCAAGTKAAGTTTTTTTTGTATAAACATTCAGAATAAACTTTAATATATGTAACGAGGACTGAATCACCTCTTACGATCGATGACTGACTGCACCCACAACATACATGTTGAAGCTGCGCATGCGTAACTGCCTCACCGAGCACCGAGCGGCAGGAAAGTTTCAATGCCATGGTATTTTACCTTGAGTTTTTTCAGTAGTTACTGATAAACAAATTGAAATAAATAACTAACTCCTGAACTCTAAAATGTGTGTGTGTGTGTTGGGGGGGGGGGGGGGGGGGGGGGGTTGTCAATAAATGTGTATTGCACCGTGATATGTGAACGAGGTATGATTATAAAGCTAATGTGAAGGTACCCTTTACCCTTCTCAAAAAGTATCGTGGATGCGAGGGCTAGCATGAAAATACAAAATTCACACTTTTTCTTGATGGAATTTGTGATATTTCTTTGTATTTCCATATAAGCCTCGCATTCAAGACAATTTAAAGAAGTGTGTATATGCACATAACGCATCACAGTTTCGAATTTTCTCAGGTTGGCCTTGAATGTCCATTTATGTGTTCCCGTAAAGGCCGTTGTAAGAGCCATAATATAATCGTATCGAGGTTTCTTTGTGTGATCGATTTGGGGAGGGGAATACTACTTCCACAATACTTCTCCAAACTAGCGTAAAAAAGCAGGCCTTACTGGTTTTAAATTAATTTACTTCAGATGTGGTAAGGGATCCAGCAAAAAAAAAACATGTTCAAAAAGTAGAAACTAGAAACTAGACACAAGATAATTTTATTGTTTTCACGATTCCTTCATAATAAACGGTTCTCCATGATATAAAACTGTTTTTTAACAGATATTTATGGATTATATTTACCAAATAAATACAGGATAAATCAAACAATTCATTAAAGTCAAGAAGAAGAAAAWATACATTTTTTCAAGATGAATACGTATTATCCTTCTAATAACAAGAGGTCAGCAATGTTGTAAGGCAGTTTTTCCATAAAGCYACGAAACAAATCAGTGTAATAAAGCTTTTTCTCTCCCGTGACAAGGAAGCCATATTGGTGTACCAAACAATAGAAACTTTCTACACAGTATTTGYATAAAATTAAAGTTCAATTCCCAGAGGATAGAACATGTATTGTTTTGGTACACCAAGATGGCTGGAGTGACGTTACGTGAAAGCGCTCAATAGTGGGATAAATACAATAGAAAACAAAATAATTAGAGTGTATTTCTTGGGATACATGTTACGTCATAGTCGCCATGTTGGTTATTGTATTCATTAAGCTTCTCTTGTTGGATCAACTAAGATGGCGGTCGTTTGATTGCTATTTATATCTCAAGGGATTTACAGTATCTGTCACGTGGTTGCACTCCAAAAAAACGCTCACCTTTAGTTTATGACTAGGAAAACTACTCTAAATTTTATTTTCTTTGCATGAAATATTGTATCACCCTGTAAAAGTAGTTTACATGTGATTGATGCATTACTTTGCTAGTGCAAAAGTAAATTATTCGAACCTTTGAAAACATTTGTAGTCATTTGTGAATTTTTTTGTTACTTGAGCATCTGAAAATCAAAACTGATACATTTGTCAAGCGAGCCTTGGGGCTCCTGTGCTTAATATGGCAGAGAAAAGACTGGTTGAGCTTAGTGAGGCATTCTAGTATCCAGCTYCTACTCATCATAAGTGAAAGACCTTCCTCAAGAAACCACAGGTATCCCAGCCACAGAGATTGTTCTCTACTTATCATTAATATTATTTACATTTTTTGTTATTTGTTGGTGTGATTATTATATTCACTTTAYAAAACTGTGAAGGATAAAGAATGCAAACCTAGTTCCTTAATGCTGCCAATCTGTAAAATAATAACAAAATTAAATTAACACATACAAAAATCAATACAACATTCAGGTAGGGTATAGCATTTTCCCATCACAAGTTATGTTTCATTACCTTCAGAATAAGATTCTTTGTTTGAGATACATATGTCTATATTTAAGTTTCTTCTCAAGTGCAACCGTTAAACAAAAAAATGATACCCTAGCAGAGGCGTACATAGTTTTGTAATGGGGGGGGGATTCAAAAACAAGGCTGACCATGAAGTCGCATGCTGGCTATCAGTCTTGTGGGCTCACAATTGTAGGATAAGGGGCAAGATGATGGCCATTGAGTCAAAATCAGATTTACTGTACATGGGTATAATTGGCATTTTGTTTCATAGGAGATACTGAAAACAGTATCTGTGAATGTGATTGCTCATTTACTTATTCAGTGAATTGATTACAAACTGATTTGTAAAAATAAGTTTGGTTACAAAGGGTTTATCTGGCACTCCTCTAACCCTCCCTTGTGTACGCCCATRCCTAGTGAATGACACGCAGTCTGAAATGGGAAAAMATAATCTCAAACTAAAAATATCATAAATGTTAAATGTACCTTTTTGTGAGTTGATCCTCTTCTTTCACTGAACGTTCTCCTTCTCTTTCTCTGAGTGATTCTGTTCCTGGTTGTACTTTTTCTAATTCACTCATTATTTCCAAGCCATTTTCTTCAGCTACTTGACTAATAAGAGCTTCAACCTGTTGATATTTGACAATCATATCTATTCATATAACATTTCATAATTATTTTGTAATTAATGTTTGCATCACTGCAGTTATTATTGTTTGCAAATACAGATTTTTGAAAATAATGGTTGACTTGCATGAACAGGTCAGGTGATCATATACCCCCCTTAAAACGAATAGCCAAACCTAACTCTGGGAATAAAAAGAGCACCAAATTAAAAGAGCAGCTGTAAGGGGTTGTGCCAAATGACTGTGACTCCCCATAGCCTGCTTTTCAAACTTAAAAAAAAAAGTCAATGAGGAGACAGAAAATCTTCAAATTAAAAGAGATTAAAACCAAAGACATTTTCTTTAAAAATCGGTCTTTAATTTTAGATTTCTGATTGGTATGTAGTAACTTGTGAGATATTGAGCTCCGAATGCAAGTTGTTGTGAATTTTGACAGCTGGACTTGTACATTTACATGCACCTTTCCAATTATCATATGCTTGGCAGGGAAGTCAAATTTTCGAACAAGTCTTAGCACCAAAGTGTTCCTCAACTATCAAACTATAATTTTTATGACATATTTGTGGGCAAAATRAAATACCAAGCTTTTCTGTAATCGTATTTTGAAAGCCTTCAAGGTTCTAACCATCATCTCATTACAAATTCAGTAACCTTAAGATCTTCACTAACTTGGTGCTTGGGCTACCTGTGGATAAGCTTAATTGGTTTTGGTATTTGATCAATTATGTAATGATATTGAACTAAACATACCTGGTCTTGTGGAGTGGTTAGAGTTGTAGCTTGGCCCATGGAACTTTCCATCACCTGCAAGACAAAAAACAAACATACTTATAAGCTGCAACATTGATTTCTTAAAAATTATYATTCACCGAAGGCGAAGTGATTATTAGAGAGTTTTCTATCATGCATGAATTTTATTTTTTCTCGAATTTTCTAGTAGCTATACAGATAGCTAAAATCTCTGAGAAAACATAAATAAACAAATTATAAATAAAGATGACGAATTTGACTAAAATTCTGTGAATCTACAAGACGAGTGCATACAGTATGTCATGAAATGCCTTGATTTACATCCAACAACACACTATTTGTTACAATAGGAATGATTTAATGCATGTGATTAGGAAGCAATGTCAGCTATTGAACAACTTTCAAGAACAATTTCCAACTTTAATTAAACAGAATGCTAGTTCAACTACTTTTAATTAATTCAGTTACCATACCTGAGTATTGACATCAAGATCTTCAAACAAACCTTCAAATTTTTCCATTGTTGCTGAAATCTAAAATATAGATTGAATAAAGTTTAAAATTTTATCATATTTCATAAAGATTATCCAAGTTGCAATGTTTTGTTAGCAGGACCATTCCAGTCCTATAGAAAATCATACTTTGGTCTCACATTTAAAAATTATTTTGATTTCATACCTTTTCTAGGTCCATACTTTTCATTGCTTTATCAAGACCTTTTGTTACACCTTCCATGCTCTTGCTCACCTAAAAAAATAAATTTATAATAAAATATATACACTTACTTCACTGCATGCATTGCAAATCTGCTGTAATGGCTGCAAAACTATATACAATGAAACCCTCAAATGAATGCATTTTTCTTCCTTCATTTTTTAGAATGGAGTAGTTAATACAGAACACCCTTTTCCATTCTCAGTTCAGCTAAATACAACAGTTAGGGAGTGGAAATATCAATGAAAAAATTTAATTGAGAAGATATAAAGAATGGTGTAGGTCATGTAGACCTATGATGTACTAATATTTTAACGAACTCAAACCAATYTTATCTAGAGACATAATATTGTTAGGGAAAAATATCCATGTTAAGAGCTTGTCTAGATATATAGTATCATTTTTATTCATGAGTTTATACATATGATATCGCGAACGAGCATGTCTGTGAGTGATATCATATGGAAAATGAGTGAATAAAAAATATCATGCTCTTAACATGTAATGATAATGTTTATTACACACTTAGGGCCGATAAAATTTCAAATTTCAAGTTTACCCTGAAGAGATATCGTATCACTTCCTCTATGGTTTTTATTCATGGCTTTATCACACGGATATCAACCTTAAAAATGTAATAAAGTCACATAGTTCATGAAATGCTGCATTTGCATGTAGYGATAAAGATTGCAGGGATGCCTGAACATAACTCATGAAAGAAAAGTGCATGTTAAATGGTTGTAGCCAAATAGGTTTGATTAACATGTCTCTTATGCATGTTTGATCTTGTGTCATCCCCAAGTTCTTCATAATGGGACACAGCACACTTGGGCAGGTTTGAGCTTTTTTATGATACCAATTATAATCTATACTGCTTCTTTTGTATGCATACAAAAACAAGTGACAAAATAGTAAGTGTATGATTACAAAAAGCATAATGGCTATGGTTCCACCAGTGTAGTTTTATACAATGAGCACTGTTATAATGATGTCAAGTTATATTTCTAATGGAACTGTCTGTGGCCATGGAATCCTGGCAGCATTTTGGAAGGACAGATTACAAGGCATTTGCTGTACAATGTTCATTTGACTTTACGATGGGTTAACAATGTTTATCTGAAGTTTATCTATCAGCTAATGTAATCAAAGTGAACCAAACACAGTCCACAAAATGAACACGTGCAACATTTTAGCTCATGCATGTGGATTTTCACCCTTCTAAGTTACTAGTAATGTTTGGGATTCAATGGAGGTCAAATATGAATAATGATTCAGGACTTTCTAATGGAATTGCAAAATAATCTCATCATAGATTAACCCCTGGTAAAGTCCTGTCTTGAAAACAAGGCTGTAACAATGTGCAGTAATAAGCTCTTAGTTAAACCACCACCATAATATTATGCCCCCCAACCAATAGGAAAGTAAGATATTATGTACTTATTGACTGAGTGGGAGGGCCGTA